TAAAATATTATTATTATTATTATTATTATTATTATTATTATTATTATTATTATTATTATTATTATTATTATTATTATTATTATTATTATTATTATTATTATTATCATCATCATCATCACCACCACCACCACCATCACCACCACCTTTTCACCCCCCAGGCCCCGATGTGGGTCAGTAACCTGTGCCTGTGTGGGCTAATCCCTGTAAAAAAAATAAAAAAATAAGAAATAAATAAGTAAATAAATAAATCAGGATTGTTCTAGTAAAAATCGAGTGTCTACCTTAATTAGAACTGATGTTACAGACTCCTGTACAAACATTTATTCCTTTTTTTATAAGGAATGGAGTCCCCATCATTATATCATGTCAAAATATTTTGTTTAAGAATTGATTAATTGTGGTAAACACTTCCCTGGTGACATAACAACTTGTGTCATATGTCACTGAATTAAAATAATAACTTTAAAGACTAGAATCAAATATTGCATAATAAAAGACAGAGTAATAAATAACATAGAACTTTCAAAAAGCCATTTAAACATTAATAGATAAAACTCAAAGCTTGTGTAGAAGGTCGGCTTCCTCCACGGAGGAGAGTACGTCCCCCCTAAGCACCAGGAGGAAGACAAAGAAGACTCACAACCTCCCTTACTCTGAAGCTGAAAGGTCGTGAGAGGCTGAGTGTAGTGTGGGGACATAATCTCGTCAACTATACAAGTGTTGGTTACAGATTGTGGAGGCAAAACCAACACTGAACCTGGAGATACTGACATCTAAGATCAAGGGCTGGGTCATCAGCGTCAACTAGTAGACTTGGAATTGATAAAGACCTGAAGACCCTAAAAGTGCGATGGATGGTAAATTTCCCTGCAATCCAAAATTGTGAAACTCCTTAAGGATGCTGAATCTGTAAGCTGTGTCGTATGCTTTCTCTGGGTCGAAAAAATGCAGATGAGATCCTGGCAACAAGTCAGATTGATATGGTCAAAGGGCATTCTTCACCAGGTAGTATACTAATCGTGACTTGACCAACCATCTTTTCAAACAGCTTGCAGATACAGGAGGTCAGAGCTATGGGGCGATAATCTAGCGGGTGAAGACCCTCTCCTCCAGTTTTCTTGAAAGGCACGACATTAGCCTCCTGCCATGAGGACAGGAAGGACCAGTTCCTGTTATATTGCTCTAATAGAAAGGTCTGTACCTCAACCTAAAGTGATGAAGCATTGAAAATGGGATATCATCAGGCCTTGTTGATGTATCCCCAGTAAGTGAAAGGGCAGTTCACATTTCTTTCATTAAGAACATGATGTGTGTCTGACCACGTCCCACTCCATAATCCAGGGCCCATTACTCCTTTACTCTACACTCCTGTGTAAACTCTGAGGATTGAGCTGTCATAGAAGACACACCTTCAAATGTTGTGGCAAAAAGTTCAGCAACTTGAGGGGCGGCAACTGAGCTGCCATCATTAGCCCTGAGAGCTGGGGGAGGATTAGATAAAAACTTGCCTGATATTTTCTTCACACATTTCCATACCTGTGACAAGGGAGTTTTTACATTTACAGAGGAGACAAAAGAGAAAAAAGACTGGTGATGGGCATTCTTTAATATTTGACGAGCTTGGGTTCTGGCCCGTTTGTATTCCACATGATAAAATCCTGTCCTATGATGCATGTAGTAGTCATAAGCTCTGTGCTGCTCAATAACTGCCTGTCTGCACTCCTGCGACCAGCAAGGAACAGATCATTGAGCCACACGACCAGAGGTGTGAGGAATGGAACAGTGACCAACCCGTTGGTGGAGGTTGGCAAAGTATTCAATTGCTTCATCTACAGAGGGAAATTCTTCAAAGCAACTGTCTACCTTGCAAGTTCCTTGAACAAATCCCAGTTCACCTTATCTAATTGCCAACGGGAACCTTATGGTGTCGGGAGAACCTCCGGGGAAGAAGAAATAATAGCAAGCATTGGTCACTTCCTCTGAGGTCGTCTGTTACTCTCCACTCAACGTCCAGTAGAGAGTCTACTGAGCACAATTCGAGATCTATGGCTGTAATCGTGTTGGTCTGGACATGACAGTGGGTGATATCACCAGTATTTAATATACCCAGGTCCATTTCTTCGATGATCAAAACTAACATGTCACTCCTTGTTTTGTTTAAGGATCTCTTATTGGGAACATCTTGTAGAGAATTTATCAGGATCATTATGGTATCAGTTTCATTTGTCTAACACATTTACACAGATGCTGAAAATATATGTTTATACAGTACAGTTTTTCATCAGCCATAGGCATTTTCGCTCGTGCGTGTAGTCTAGATGTAATGGGAGGGTGTTTGTCCGTGCGAGACGAGATGCACAGTTTAGACTCTCAAAAACCTTTCCCCAGCACCCAGAAACATTCTGGGGATGTCGGCTAATGTCCTTTTGTGCAAGATGTATAATTTAGACTCTCAGAATTTTTTCCCAGTAACCGGAAAAACTCCAGGGATATGGGATTTTTTCATGTTTGAGAGAGTCCTCTAGTTATCCCGATATCTCTCATTCCCAGAAAATCTCTGCACCAATTGTTCCGGCTAATGGGGATATCACATATTTTATATAAAATATTTAATTTTTAATGAACTCTTGACCACACTAAGACCACAAGTGTCACCATTGACCACACTAAGACCAGGAGTGTCACCATTGACCACACTAAGACCAGGAGTGTCACCATTGACCACACTAAAAGACCAGGAGTGTCACCATTGACCACACTAAGACCAGAAGTGTCACCATTGACCACACTAAAAGACCAGGAGTGTCACTATTGACCACACTAAGACCAGGAGTGTCACTATTGACCACACTAAGACCAGAAGTGTCACCATTGACCACACTAAGACCAGAAGTGTCACCATTAACACACTGGGACTAGAAGTGTCACCCAGTGAGCCACACTAGGACTAGAAGTATACCATTGACCACACTAAAGCCAGGAGTGTCACCGTGATACAAGACCAGGAGTGTCACCATTGACCACACTAAGACCAGGAGTGTCACCATTGACCACACTAAGGCCAGGAATTGTGCCATTGACCACACCAAGACCGAGTGTCACCATTGACCACACTAAGACCAGGAGTGTCAACATTGACCACGCTAAGACCAGGAGTGTCTGCATTGACCACACTAAGACTAGAAGTGTCACCGTGGCCACACTAAGACATGAGTGCACTAATGACCCACACTAAAGGCCATGAGTGTCACTAATGACCCACACTAAGACAGGTGTCACTGTAAGCCCACACTAAGACCAGGGAAGTGTCACCATTGACCACACTAAGACTAGAAGTGTCACCATTGACCACACTAAGACCAGGAGTGTCACCATTGACCACACTAAGACCAGGAGTGTCACCATTGACCACACTAGGACTAGAAGTGTCACCATTGACCACACTAAGACCAGGAGTGTCACCATTGACCACACTAGGACTAGAAGTGTCACCATTGACCACACTAAGACTAGAAGTGTCACTATTGACCACACTAAGACCAGGAGTGTCACTATTGACCACACTACGACCAGGAGTGTCACCATTGACCACACTAAGACCAGGAGTGTCACCATTGACCACACTAGGACTAGAAGTGTCACCATTGACCACACTAGGACTAGAAGTGTCACCATTGACCACACTAAGACTAGAAGTGTCACCAATGACCACACTAAGACTAAAAGTGTCATTGACCACATTGACCACACTAAGACCAGGAGTGTCACCATTGACCACACTAGGACTAGAAGTGTCACCATTGACCACACTAAGACTAGAAGTGTCACCATTGACCACACTAAGACCAGGAGTGTCACCATTGACCACACTAAGACCAGGAGTGTCACCATTGACCACACTAAGACACTAAGAAGAGTGTCACCATTGACCACACTAAGACTAAAAGTGTCACCATTGACCACACTAAGACTAGAAGTGTCACACTATTGACCACACTAAGACCAGGAGTGTCACTATTGACCACACTAAGACCAGGAGTGTCACCATTGACCACACTAAGACCAGGAGTGTCACCATTGACCACACTAAGACCTAAAAGTGTCACCATTGACTACATTAAGACTAAAAGTGTCACCATTGACCACACTAGAGTGTCACCAGGAGTGTCACTATTGACCACACTAAGACCAGGAGTGTCACTATTGACCACACTAAGACCAGGAGTGTCACTATTGACCACACTAAGCCCAGGAGTGTCACTATTGACCACACTAAGCCCAGGAGTGTCACTATTGACCACACTAAGACCAGGAGTGTCACTATTGACCACACTAAGACCAGGAGTGTCACCATTGACCACACTAAGACCAGGAGTGTCATTATTAACCACACTAAGACTAGAAGTGTCACCATTGACCACACTAAGACCAGGAGTGTTACCATTGACCACACTAAGACTAGAAGTGTCACCATTTACCACACTAAGACCAGGAGTGTCGCCATTGACCCCACTAAGACTAGGAGTGTCACTATTGACCACACTAAGACCAGGAGTGTCAATATTGACCACACTAAGACCAGGAGTGTCACTATTGACCACACTAAGACCAGGAGTGTCACTATTGACCACACTAAGACCAGGAGTGTCACTATTGACCACACTAAGACCAGGAGTGTCACTATTGACCACACTAAGACCAGGAGTGTCACCATTTACCACACTAAGACCACGAGTGTCACCATTGACCACACTAAGACTAGGAGTGTCACTATTGACCACACTAAGACCAGGAGTGTCACTATTGACCACACTAAGACCAGGAATGACAATATCGACCACACTAAGACCAGAAGTGTCACTATTGACCACACTAAGACCAGGAGTGTCACTATTGACCACACTAAGACCAGGAGTGTCACTATTGACCACACTAAGACCAGGAGTGTCACTATTGACCACACTAAGTGTTGATACTAACATTTTCATCTCACCCAACAGGACTTCGGGAACGCCTGTGTCTGCTGACCATATTTGCTCTGAGTGTGCGGTATGAAGCTTCTGATCTGAGCCTGGCTGTGTCAAGTGGCCTTCTTGATGCCTTAGTGAGGATGTGTTGCCCTTATGATCCCCCCACCCTGCGCCACACTCCACACCCCTCCCCGTCAGATCTTCTGCCTCATGCAGCTCACACACTCTTTCAGATACTTACTATTTTAACAGGGTAAGTGTGAAGGTTTACAGGGTATTTTAACTACTTCTGATAAGATCTTATTTCTGTGTTGCATAAGTTGGTGAGACAACTGACAGACATAATAATTTAGGTTGCTGCAAAATTAAAAATTCACATTAAAAGTCATGGAATTACCTGAAGTTGCTGTATGTAAGTACAGTACAGTACAGTACATTTTAAGTACTTATTAAATATTGCCATTGTAGTATTAGTTAAAGTTACAAAAAAACAGCATAAATTGTCTGAATTTGTTCTATACTTGTACATAATCCTTTTAAGAAGATCTCTTGAATTTAAGTTTAAATGTGTCACTCGTAATTGTTTGTTTGAGTTTTATGTTAAGTTCATCCTCTCAACTGATGGAAGATATAAATGTAAAAGACTAAATTATGAACTCCATTTTATGAGTATGGGGAAGACTCACTGGTGAACCCTTGTGGCAGTGAGCTTCATCTGTTTTAGTACAGAACACAACATCTAGGCGGACGAGGCCTGACAGTGTTTTCTGCTGTAAACATTATTTATCGCCCAGTTGACTCAGTCTCTCTTATTAGTACTACTTGAGGTTCCAGGTGGTCTGTGGTCCCCAAACCTAGTTGCCTAAATTTTGAAGTGTGAGTAACTTAAACAGTTGTGGTCACCTTATGCCTACCAGTATATATTACGATAAGAAGCAATAAATAGTTGTTCTACATCTAGAAAATCATAGTTTTTAAATACAGTTCAGTAGTCTTATAAACCACCGTATCAATTATAAACATCAAAGTTTTTATCCCGGGGTGACCCTCTAAACCAGTGGTTCTTAACCTTTTTTGAGTCACGGACCCCTTTGGGAATTTGATGAAAGCTATGGTCCCCCTCCCTAGAAAAATGCACATAAGCACAACTGTACATGCAATGAATATTCTTTATTTTATTGAAAATTCATTGCCTCATACAGTGTATGACATACACAAAGTATGAATAAAGTAAACAATCTTAACAAATAATTATGTTTCACACTTTTTTATGCAAAAATTAATGGCCACTCCATACAAAAATGAAATACAATGATCTTGTGCAAATTAAGCAAAACAAAACTTTAATTCTGCTCAAAAGTTCATTTCAATGAGAAGGTTGTTGTTATTTGGCTTGAATATAAATGTTAAATTTTTATCTGACCTTCAAGGACCCCCTGAAGCCCATCCATGGACCCCTGCTCTAAACCCTCCTGCAACAGAAGGATCTTCCTGCCATGTTGTGTTGTGGTCTCAGTCTTTACACATTTTATGGTCACCACAAACACTCTTTAGTACAGCCAGTACTGGGAATCATGTTAGGGGTTGAAGCCCACCCAGTAGTCCAGGAGCCTCGGTCTCTCTCAGCCATAAAAGGAAGTTATCTGCAAACCTTCTTACTTCTTGCCAGTTTCCAGTCCCTTGAAGTTATTAGGAGGGAACAGCTCACTTACTTCTCACAGTGAGTGAATTGGAAGAACAGACTCACCTTACAATTTCTTACAGAAGTCTTGGATCAACTTTCCTCTGTAATGGTCATTATTTTATTGGTTTAATTGTACGCGAAGGTTGAGCGAGTTAACCAGTGATCCCTGTGTTACCTCATACCAGTGATGGATAAGTCAAGTTCCCTCTAGATATTTAATGGTACAGTAAGTCCTTGATAATATATGAGGTCTCCAGGATGATGTCACATAATTTTGAAATTAAACAATTAATTATTGTACTGTATAATTAATATCCTCATTAACCAGAATTTTTCATCCTTGGAACTTTCCATTATCTGGAAAATAAAATTTTAGCATTCCCAAAACTTCTGAGCATTTGCATCACATGCTGACAAGTGCCGGGTGCATGGATGGGTAGGCTCAGAATGCTCGTGAGCTACAATTGGCTACTGCTGTCATGTAACTGCATGGGATGCCTATGATTGACTGCTGTATCTCACAGCCTATGTCCTCTAACTCTTGCATCATGAGTCTCTTAGTTCATTGTTTGCTGCCATTTTACAAGCTTGTTCACTCACCCACTGCTGCTTTCACATATGATCTGTGTTGTGCAGTACTATGCATTACTGTACCAGCATATAATCAGCCAAGAATACTGTTAAAGAAGTATTATGACATAAAAAGTAATTACAGCTATGTATACTGTGCTGTACATTTAGTAAGTGTGAAAGTACTGTATCACAGTAGGCTAGTGTGTGGAGAGTGTATGTACAGAGTACAGTGCATGTACAATCCCTCCTTCATGAACCGGGAGGAAAGTTTCAGCTAGCAATACCTGCTACAGGAGACGGTACAGGACAAAGGCAGGTCATCCTGTATCATCCTATCACCATTTGTCCTGCCTGCATCACAAGCCCAAGATGACAGTATCTGCTGGTGAGCACAGTATAGTGTATACAGTAGTATAGTATATTTTGTTTATTTACAATATATTGTACATATACAATACTGTTTGCAGTTAAACTTCTGCAACAACAGTACACCTAGCCAGATGTATAATTTGGCCCTTGTATTGGGGTGATTCCTAGGACCATTGGGGTTAGCTCTAGGCGTGGGGCCAGGGTGGCATTCCATTATGGGGGGCAGGGAGCCAGCACCCTCTTCCCCATGGGGGCAGATTCGCTATTTCTGTTATTTTTCATCTTAGAAGGCTGATTTTGGGCTCAAATAACTCGGAGTACAATGTATGACAACTTTGAAGGAAAGAAGTGATGTTTGGGCTCTATATGTATCACAAACACATTGTTCAATGCAAGGCAGACCTACCAGTAGACAAGAACATTTCCCTGAGACGAGACGAGACAGTCTTTGTTGTTACAGTACAGGTCATGAACCTGTACTGGTGCACATTTCTTGTCAAGCATTAAAAGTCCCTCTACAGCCTTTATCCAGCCTTGCTGGCGTTCAGTATAATATTAATTACTGCAGCCCCCTCACCTGGGTGTTGATGAGTCAACTGACAAGTCATAAACAACATTATCATGCACATTGTTACTTATCTCTGTTGTTATTATTATACCCATCAGTATATTTCTTCAACAGTCAGGTCTACTTACCAGGTCTCCTTCACTTTCACCCGAGGCAAAATAATCACTTGCCTGACAGGCTACTGATTTTTGTTTAATCTGACTCACTCTAAGGATTTTTTACTTGCCACAGGTGAGTGGGCCAGTATGATTGGCACTCCTGGGTGGTGGTGGTGCTAACTCATTGAGCTTTATTGCCTTCGTCTTCCCTTCTGTACTTAATGGCTTCACGTACATGAGTTGTGTAATTTATGCTGACCTATACATGAGAGAGTAATCCTAAAATCCCTGTTTATCCTCAGTGTGGATCAGGTGCTTCAGGTCCTTCTGACTTCCTTTGTCTTTACTATCTTTTTAACCAAAAACTGTGGATCCCAGAGTGTTTGTGTTGGTGACGTCTCTCAGCTTTCAACCCAAGGGACTACCAAGGTTTCCCAGTTGCATCTTTGAGAGCCAGTCTTGTCTTGAGACACATTGATTCTTTGTTCACAGTCAATTTTAAAATATAAAATAGTTTCAGTTGCACAAGTAAGGGGTGCAGGGAACCTCTTGTGAAAATATACACTTATTGACCCCACATGAAATGTCCAATCCATGTTATGTTATAAAATGGAATTTTAGGATCAATCCTTAATGTTTAATGCTCTGCTCCTTCATCCTGCAGGAGTTAACCTCAGTATTAGGGCCTGCTCACACTGAAGCCATAAGTGGACAAATTCTGATGCAAATTATTCGGACAATATGTGACGCCGCGGTGGGTGATATATGATATTGTCAGCTTAGCTAATACCCGTTATACGACTTGGTGTCTTCTAGGGAGAGGGAAACTGTCTTCCCTCTAAGATAAAATTTGAAAGATTCAAATTAGATGTGATTAGAATATACTGTGAGATGTGTTGTTAACTTGACTCACTCATTCTGACAATTGGCATCAGATTTTGTCCATTCCAGCCTCAGTGTGAGCAGGCTCTTTTACATTTTGCTCATGAATCTTCAGTTATTTCTTCAGTATTGTTCATCATTACAAATCATTCAAATGAATGTAATAGACAATGCATTGTGTGTTACAGGTATTATGCAGAAGACATCAGTGAGTCAGTCCTCTCTCAGGTTATGAATCTTTTACACCTACAAGTTGAGGACCTGGTCAACCACATCATTAAGGCAAATGAATTTACATGGAAGAACTTGATGCAGCAAGACGTCACTCTTCCCGATGAAAAGACCACAGAGTTTAAAGGAGCGGAGACCGACGAGACGGAGAGGAAAGTTATGGATATAAGTGATGTGGGTGAAAAAGATAAGAAAGCAGGTCAGAGGAAATTAGAATTACGTCTTACTGGGCTCAATGCTGACCAGAACAGTAACGTTGCCGATGCTCGCAAAAGGCGACATTTGGAAGTGACTTTGGGCAATCTTCTCGTGTTTGTGAGGCGGCTGTGTGTGAACCAGCGGGTGAGAGTCCTCGTGGGTCGTCAGCCGTGGGTCCGCCTTCTGCTGCTGGTGACCGGAGAGCAGGCTGAATCTCACCTTCCTCAGGTCATTAGTGTAAGAACTCGAGTGCTAGCATTGACTCTACTGGGTGCAACATTACCATATTCCGATCTTGACCTAGAGGCTCGGGAACAGGTTGTAAGACAGCTGTTCATGCAGCTGGCAGCTAATATGTGGGTTATACCATCTGCTCAAGCCCACCTTAAGGCAAGCCAATTGCTGACTGAACTGCAGAGACATCTTGTAAGACTGTCCAGTCCAGAATTGATGGATGAACAATCAAGACCAGATTCTCCTGATGACAGTCTGCCAGTTCAAGAAGTAGGCTTTGATCCTGACAAGTCTGTTTGTTGCTCAGTGGAGGGAGGACACACCTTAGTTCATATCCCAGGTGGACGTGGCTATGGTCTAGGGTCCACTCCCATTACCTCGGGCTGTTATCAGTGGAAATTTCTCATTGTCAAAGAGAACCGGGGTAATGAAGGAACGTGTGTTGGTGTCTCAAAATATCCAGTTCGCGATTACAGCCACAGGACTTCCTCGGACATGTGGCTTTATAGAGCCTACTCGGGAAATCTGTACCACAATGGGGAACTAAGTGTGTCCTTACCAGGTTTTACACAAGGGGATTACATCACAGTGGTGCTGGATATGGAGGCCAGAACTCTCAGCTTTGGCAAGAACGGAGAAGAACCACGGCTTGCATTTGAAAATATTGATGCCCCGGAGCTTTATCCATGTGTCATGTTCTATAGCACAAACCCTGGTGAGAAAGTAAAGATGGTGGACATGCAAGTTAGAGGTTCACCACGAGACCTTGATCCCGGGGACCCGCTGTGTGCCCCTCAAGCTGCCGTCTTAGCAGAAGCCCACATTGCTCTACTCCGGCAGCTCCACGAAGCCTCAGTTTGGACGCAACAGGTTAACGATTGTATAATTGAACGTCTTAATCAGACAAAAGAACTCATACCGCAGCCAAAAGATCTTCACGAAAGTATCGAAACAGCTTCTAAAAGTGAATCGGAAACTGAAGAAGTTACTTCTGAATATGAACCTTCCACAGATGATGGTAACGAAGGGCACGTCCTGACACTAGATGAAAGACTTGAACAAGAAGAGAGGGCAAAGAAGAAATTTGGATCATGTTCTGACGATGACGACAGAAACAACCAAAGAACAGACAAAAACCTGGAACAAGATCGTGACCTCTTGGATGGAAGGACGGGCACTGCTAAAGGGAAATTATGTAAACAAAACCTTGTTTATGAGATGAACTTGGAACAGCTCTGTAAAGAAGTATATCCCGCTCTTGCCATGATCGGTGGCGTAGACAGTGGGTTACGTGTAGGGAGTCAGTGTATCCAGAAGGGGACAGGAAGAAGAGCCATGGTGTTGGGAGCATTGCGTCAAGGTCACCCTGCAGTTAAGGTACCGTATGTCTCTTTTGTTTACCTCTTGTCTCTTTATAATCATAGTTACTCTATCAGAGCTGGAGGCTGAGGAATGATTGTAATGCATCCAACTAATATATTTCTTTACCATTAACTTTGGCAATATCCCCTATTATATCCTAACCCAGCCTGTTGTATGCCCTTACTAGATCTATCTGCATGAGGGTCATTGATAACAATTGTGGCACTTTAAAATATTCAGAGAATTTGGATGTTGGAACAGTCTCAGCTTTAATAATGGGAATCTATCAGGAAAGGAGAGCCAATTTGTGAAGGATGCATTTATGAAAGGCTTTTCAGGAGCTGAACCATTTTGTATATTATGAATCTCTGGTGCAATATTTATATAGTAATGGTAGCGTAGTTTAATAATGATTCTGTTCATGTACAGTTGTATTAAGGTCGTCAAATGAGGCTCCCTATATACAGATTAATGGTAGTTTGAACCTTTTAGAAAGTAAGCAAATATATTCCATTATAGTACAGGTGTACCCCGATAACTGACGCATTTAGGGACCGGGGAAAGTCATTGGTTAGTGAATCAACGGTTATCAAGACAATTAATCCCATAAGAACATAACAAATTCAGAGGGTTAAGGACCGGCCACCCTCCAAAACTCCCATCTACCCTTGATATATCTCTGTACTGTACACTGTCAAGCTAGTACATAATGTATGTTGGACAGGGTGTGTCCTGCTAGTACATAATGTATGTTGGACATGGTGTGTCCTGCTAGTACATAATGTATGTTGGACATGGTGTGTCCTGCTAGTACATAGTGTATGTTGGACAGGGTGTGTCCTGCTAGTACATAATGTATGTTGGACATGGTGTGTCCTGCTAGTACATAATGTATGTTGGACATGGTGTGTCCTGCTAGTACATAATGTATGTTGGACATGGTGTGTCCTGCTAGTACATAATGTATGTTGGACATGGTGTGTCCTGCTAGTACATAATGTATGTTGGACAGGGTGTGTCCTGCTAGTACATAATGTATGTTGGACATGGTGTGTCCTGCTAGTACATAATGTATGTTGGACATGGTGTGTCCTGCTAGCACATAAGTTGGACATGGTGTGTCCTGTAGCACATAATGTATGTTGGACATGGTGTGTCCTGCTAGTACATAATGTATGTTGGACAGGGTGTGTCCTGCTAGTACATAATGTATGTTGGACATGGTGTGTCCTGCTAGTACATAATGTATGTTGGACATGGTGTGTCCTGCTAGTACATAATGTATGTTGGACATGGTGTGTCCTGCTAGTACATAATGTATGTTGGACATGGTGTGTCCTGCTAGTACATAATGTATGTTGGACATGGTGTGTCCTGCTAGTACATAATGTATGTTGGACATGGTGTGTCCTGCTAGTACATAATGTATGTTGGACAGGGTGTGTCCTAGTACATAATGTATGTTGGACAGGGGTGTGTCTGCTGGTAATGTATGTTGGACATGGTGTGTCCTGCTAGTACATAATGTATGTTAGTACATAATGTATGTTGGACATGGTGTGTCCTGCTGGTACATAATGTATGTTGGACATGGTGTGTCCTGCTAGTACATAATGCATGTTGGACACAGTGTGTCCCTAGTACATAATGTATGTTGGACATGGTGTGTCCTGCTAGTACACTAGCTGTACATAATGATATGGTGTGTTGGACACATGTCCTGCTAGTACATAATGTATGTTGGACAGGGGTGTGTCCTGCTAGTACATAATGTATGTTGGACATGGTGTGTCCTGCTAGTACATAATGTATGTTGGACATGGTGTGTCCTGCTAGTACATAATGTATGTTGGACAGGGTGTGTCCTGCTAGTACATAATGTATGTTGGACATGGTGTGTCCTGCTAGTACATAATGTATGTTGGACATGGTGTGTCCTGCTAGTACATAATGTATGTTGGACAGGGTGTGTCCTGCTAGTACATAATGTATGTTGGACATGGTATGTCCTGCTAGTACATAATGTATGTTGGACATGGTGTGTCCTGCTAGTACATAATGTATGTTGGACAGGGTGTGTCCTGCTAGTACATAATGTATGTTGGACATGGTGTGTCCTGCTAGTACATAATGTATGTTGGACATGGTGTGTCCTGCTAGTACATAATGTATGTTGGACAGGGTGTGTCCTGCTAGTACATAATGTATGTTGGACATGGTGTGTCCTGCTAGTACATAATGTATGTTGGACATGGTGTGTCCTGCTAGTACATAATGTATGTTGGACATGGTGTGTCCTGCTAGTACATAGTGTATGTTGGACAGGGTGTGTCCTGCTAGAACATAATGTATGTTGGACATGGTGTGTCCTGCTAGTACATAATGTATGTTGGACATGGTGTGTCCTGCTAGTACTATGTTGGACATGGTGTGTCCTGCTAGTATGTGTATGTTGGACATGTGTTGTGTCATGGTGTGTCCTGCTAGTACATAATGTATGTTGGACATGGTGTGTCCTGCTAGTACATAATGTATGTTGGACAGGGTGTGTCCTGCTAGTACATAATGTATGTTGGACATGGTGTGTCCTGCTAGTACATAATGTATGTTGGACAGGGTGTGTCCTGCTAGTACATAATGTATGTTGGACATGGTGTGTCCTGCTAGTACATAATGTATGTTGGACAGGGTGTGTCCTGCTAGTACATAATGTATGTTGGACATGGTGTGTCCTGCTAGTACATAATGTATGTTGGACAGGGTGTGTCCTGCTAGTACATAATGTATGTTGGACATGGTGTGTCCTGCTAGTACATAATGTATGTTGGACATGGTGTGTCCTGCTAGTACATAATGTATGTTGGACATGGTGTGTCCTGCTAGTACATAATGTATGTTGGACAGGGTGTGTCCTGCTAGTACATAGTGTATGTTGGACAGGGTGTGTCCTGCTAGTACATAATGTATGTTGGACATGGTGTGTCCTGCTAGTACATAATGTATGTTGGACATGGTGTGTCCTGCTAGTACATAATGCATGTTGGACAGGGTGTGTCCTGCTAGTACATAATGTATGTTGGACAGGGTGTGTCCTGCTAGTACATAATGTATGTTGGACATGGTGTGTCCTGCTAGTACATAATGTATGTTGGACAGGGTGTGTCCTGCTGGTACATAGTGTATGTTGGACAGGGGTGTGTCCTGCTAGTACATAATGTATGTTGGACATAGTGTGTCCTGCTAGTACATAATGTATGTGACTGGACGTGGTGGACAGGGGTGTGTCCTGCTGGTACATAATGTATGTTGGACAGGGTGTGTCCCTTAACAGTACATAATGTATGTTGGACATGGTGTGTCCTGCTAGTACATAATGTATGTTGGACATGGTGTGTCCTGCTAGTACATAATGTATGTTGGACATGGTGTGTCCTGCTGGTACATAATGTATGTTGGACATGGTGTGTCCTGCTAGTACATAATGCATGTTGGACATGGTGTGTCCTGCTAGTACATAATGTATGTTGGACATGGTGTGTCCTGCTAGTACATAATGTATGTTGGACAGGGTGTGTCCTGCTAGTACATAATGTATGTTGGACATGGTGTGTCCTGCTAGTACATAATGTATGTTGGACATGGTGTGTCCTGCTAGTACATAATGTATGTTGGACAGGGTGTGTCCTGCTAGTACATAATGTATGTTGGACATGGTATGTCCTGCTAGTACATAATGTATGTTGGACATGGTGTGTCCTGCTAGTACATAATGTATGTTGGACAGGGTGTGTCCTGCTAGTACATAATGTATGTTGGACATGGAGTAGCCTGCTAGTACATAATGTATGTTGGACAGGGTGTGTCCTGCTAGTACATAATGTATGTTGGACAGGGTGTGTCCTGCTAGTACATAATGTATGTTGGACGGGGTGTGTCCTGCTGGTACATAATGTATGTTGGACATGGTGTGTCCTGCTGGTACATAATGCATGTTGGACTTGGGTGTGTCCTGCTTGTTTGTCATATGTTGGACATGGTGTGTCCTGCTAGTACATAATGTATGTTGGACAGGGTGTGTCCTGCTAGTACATAATGTATGTTGGACATGGTGTGTCCTGCTAGTACATAATGTATGTTGGACAGGGTGTGTCCTGCTAGCACACAATGTATGTTGGACAGGGTGTGTCCTGCTAGTACATAATGTATGTTGGACAGGGTGTGTCCTGCTAGTACATAATGTATGTTGGACATGGTGTATCCTGCTAGTACATAATGTATGTTGGACAGGGTGTGTCCTGCTAATTGCACATAATGGCTTATGTGTTGGACAGGGGTGTGTCCTGCTAATTTACACAATGTACATGTTGGACAGGGGTGTGTCCTGCTAGTACATAATGTATGTTGGACAGGGTGTGTCCTGCTAGTACATAATGTATGTTGGACAGGGTGTGTCCTACTAGTACATAATGTATGTTGGACATGGTGTGTCCTGCTAGTACATAATGTATGTTGGACATGGTGTGTCCTGCTAGTACATAATGTATGTTGGGCATGGTGTGTCCTGCTAGTACATAATGCATGTTGGACATGGTGTGTCCTGCTAGTACATAATGTATGTTGGACAGGGTGTGTCCTGCTAGTACACAATGTATGTTGGACATGGTGTGTCCTGCTAGTACAAAATGTATGTTGGACATGGTGTGTCCTGCTAGTACATAATGTATGTTGGACATGGTGTGTCCTGCTAGTACATAATGTATGTTGGACAGGGTGTGTCCTGCTAGTACATAATGTATGTTGGAAAGGGTGTGTCCTGCTAGTACATAGTTTATGTTGGACAGGGTGTGTCCTGCTAGTACATAATGTATGTTGGACAGGGTGTGTCCTGCTAGTACATAATGTATGTTGGACATGGTGTGTCCTGCTAGTACATAATGCATGTTGGACATGGTGTGTCCTGCTAGTACATAATGTATGTTGGACATGGTGTGTCCTGCTAGTACATAATGTATGTTGGACAGGGTGTGTCCTGCTAGTACATAATGTATGTTGGACAGGGTGTGTCCTGCTAGTACATAGTGTATGTTGGACAGGGTGTGTTCTGCTAGTACATAATGTATGTTGGACAGGGTGTGTCCTGCTAGTACATAATGCATGTTGGACAAGGTGTGTCCTGCTAGTACATAATGCATGTTGGACATGGTGTGTTCTTGGCACTTGTGTTTCTTGAGTGGAAACATCTCACAAGCCTTCTTACTGTAGTGCTGTACAAGATCTCTTATTTTAGAATTAATGAATGAAAACCTTGAGCAATTAATTATAAATACTTTCAGGTACAATGGTGTGACTGGGATACAAGTATTAGTGACATAGCTGTGGCACTGCTGGAGCCAGTTGAACCACCACCATTTGATGTTTCAAAAATAACCGGATTAACAGCTCAAGTTATTACTCAGATCATGAGGCTTGCAGGACTCACCCAAGAGGTCAGTGATAAGTCTAATGTTTTATAACAATTAGCCTTCGTAGTATAATAATGTAATTCTTATGTATTTGACAGTGTTTACAAGGAAAGTCCCAGATATTGAGAGCAACGACCACCTCAAGACAAGGTAGATGTTGTTGTCGTGTAATATGAGTGACATTTTCCGCACTTTATCACATGACTGTGTAGAAGTCATCACCAGCTGCTCTGAGGTATATACAAGAAGGTGGTGTGTATGTAGGCAGTTACCTCCCCCACCCCCACACCTACTTCCCCCACCCCCACACTTACCTCCCCCCACCCCCACACTTACCTCCCCTCACCCCCACACTTACCTCTCCCCCCACCCCCCACACTTACCTCCCCCTCACCCCCCACACTTACCTCTCCCCACCCCCCACACTTACCTCTCCCCCCCACACTTACCTCTCCCCCCACCCCCACCTCTCCCCCACCCCCACACTTACCTCTCCCCCACCATGTTAGTTGAGTGCCACCATCAACACCATGTTATGATTCTGTGTCATTCAGGTTTAGTTGTATTCTGGTAGTTAGGATGTGTCGACAGAGTTAATGCTTACCTGTAGTGTATAGAGTGAAGGAAGTACTGTTATGGTACATGAACAAAAGTTATAATCATTTCCTGAAGTGTTAACTATACCCATTCCATGCTAACCTAGCCAATAAGCCACGCCTCTCTTAAGTACTAAAAGCTGATTGGTTCATAGAAAATTCAAAACTAAATGTTTTCATAGTTGGTAGGCAGACCTGTTCTTATCTAAAATAATGTTAAAAGTATTAACTATCAAATGCAAATGATTTCAAGGAATTAGCACTTCAGAGAGTATGTTAGAAAATTTTAAATATGTATTATAAAAGGTTGATATAAAAACACGCTTACTAACCAATCACCTATTTGTAGCGATAGACGAAGGGCGGGGCTTATGGGCCAGGTTAACTTGGAAATATAATAGTTTTTTGTTTTCAACATTTACTGTTTTAAGACATTACATTGCACATTAACACTGTAAGAATATTATGGCTTACAGGTCATGATCTTGGCTTCTCTGACCACAACTAAACTCTCCCAATTTGGTGTAGACAGTTTTGTTTAGGAGAAAAGTGGTTGTATTAGTGTATTTTTATATCAAATATTTTCAGGTTGAATTTCCCAAAGTGACTTACAATCATGAGACTGATGAGCTGCAGACATCATCCATTGGCAGTCTTGTGTCTCCTCATGTGCCTCAGTCCTTGCCGGCCACCACAGCCAACTCACGAGGACCATCACACACATCCAGTCCACACAAAGACTCCAGGTGTGAGATTAATGGTTCTCTCGCCTTGAAGTGGTGTGTGTGTGTGTGTATGTGTGTGTGTGTGTGTGTGCGTCATGCGTGCGTGATTGACAACTGCATTCCAGAGTATTGATGTGTTTAGACAGATGCAGAGACATATTAAACAGTACTGTACACATCATAAAGGCTGCTTGTGTTTATGTTAAATTTAAAGATAAGCAAAAATTGCATTAGTTCACCATGATAGCGCTGTGTTCTATACAAACTTGTCTCGAGGTTTAGTTTGATACATTTTACATTTGGAAGATTCCCTTGAGGTGTGATTTTGCCTCCCTTGCTACCTTCAGTTCATTATTCCATATATATATATATATATATATATATATATATATATATATATATATATATATATATATATATATATATATATATATATATATATATATATATATATATATATATATATATATATATATATATATATATATATATATATATATATATATATATATATATATATATATATATATATATATATATATATATATATATATATATATATATATATATATATATATATATATATATATATATATATATATATATATATATATATATATATATATATATATATATATATATATATATATATATATATATATATATATATATATATATATATATATATATATATATATATATATATATATATATATATATATTGATAAAATCACCGGGAAAATGGAAACAGCGGGCACCTTAGCTTTAGTCTTTATTCAAGACATCTTCATGACTGGATTACATGGATAGAGAGGCTTAAATATACAGGGTGACCTTAAAAACATGAGGTCAGGTCATAATGATGTCATCCACTAATCCCCACACCAACACACGTGAGAGAGCTTAAGAGAAGGGGTGGCGTGACTAGTCAGGTCAGGTCAAAGTAAGCCCACAAAATAACTATCATACATCTAGATCAAAGGTTTTCAAAGCATTTTTTAACCTTGGGCCACTGACAAATAAATTTATGTAACATATTATCAGTTTTGAACTGACCATCACTAAGGTTTATTGATTTTAATTCCTTAATCAAACTAGCTTCAACCAGAAGTCTTTCTGTGACATAAGATGATTTAAATACTTCTAAGCTTTTTCCCAAGCAATGGGGTGATTATTATTTCTAACATGAACGAACAAGGCACTGCTTTCAGATGCTGTTCTGATATTATACTTATGTTGTTTGATTCTGAGCTGCAGTGTTTTTCCTGTCTGTCCTACATAATTACAATTACATTTGCTACATGGAATACAATAAACACTTCCATTTACATTCAAACTTGGGCTATTTCTTATTAACATATTGGTAATGGTTGAGTCATACTTAGAAACATTAATATTTAGAAGCTTGAGGACGAACTAACGGGACAAATTCATTACGATAGGGCAGAGTCAAAATATTCTAAGTGAGGAACTTGTCTGGTTTGAGAGGAATGAAAGGATTTTTAGCCCTTTTTAAACAACGATCAACAAACACAGAAGGGTACCGAGTTTCTGTGCAATGGAGCGAATGTGTTTCAATTCATCATCAATAAATTCAGAAGTCACAAATCACGTAGACATCTTAGAACATAGCAGAAAAAACTGACATTTTGGTAGACTCAAGGTGATTCGATAACAATGAATGAAACTGTCTACCTGTGTGGGCTTTCTGTACACCTTAAATTTATAGTTTTGGCCATTTCTCATGATAAGCATATCAAGGAATGGAAGGGATCCATTATTCTCTTTCAATTTTGAATGTGATACTTGGGACAATATCATTAAGCTTGTCTAAAATTCCAATGGGTCACTGTTTTAGGCCAAGACAAAACATCATCTACATATCTATACCATGGAGGAATAAAGTCCACTATATTGGGTAGTAATCTAGACTCAAAAAACTCCATATAAATACAGGCTAGAGGAGCAGAAAGACAATTACCCATGCTCATGCCAAATATTTCCTTGTAGAACTTCCCATTTGCTCTAAACACATTGTCGAGTACGCATAACTTTATCAATTTCAGGAAAGTATCATGTTCAATAGTTAAATCTAACAGTTGTAATTTATCTTTAAGAAATGAAAGTATGTCTTTCACAGGTACTCTAGTGAACAGTGAATTTACATCAAAACTTATTAATTCACAAGGTTCATTGTGTTTCTTGAGTTTATCAATTAAATCACTGCTATTGTGTATATGTGACTTAGATATTTGGCCTGTAAGAGGGGTTATCATCTTTACCAACTTGGATCATTTGTAAGTAACAGAACCCACAGAACTCACGATAGGACGCAATGGATTGTTAAGCTTGTGTGTTTTGATCAATCCATACATATAAGGTAAAGTGGGATTGATTGGAGAGAGCTGTTTGATGAGATCGGGGTTCTTTTTCAATAACATCTTCATTTTGGAATTAGATAACTTTTTAGTATTTTCAGGGGATCTTTAGGTAAGCTCACAATACTTTTTCATCACTAAGTAATGAATTCATCTTATCATTGTGGTCACTTTTATCCAAAATAACAATAGTATTAGACTTATCAGCCTTGGTAATATGGATATTCTTATTTCTTTTCAAGTTTATCAAGGCTGTTTCAAATCTTTTTCATTATCTGTGATTGCCTGCGAAAGACGAACTTTCATAGCGGGTTTTCCATTATCGCGGTGAGTGTTCGACTCGAGACTATTTTAGATTCGCCCCCAACCCCCACCGCCACCCTGCCTGACTGCCTGTTTTAGCTCATAAAATTCATACAAATTACCCAGCCAGAATATAATTTACATTGCTGGAATTCTTACACTATGATGATCATTTTGAATATAAACATCATAGATTTTGCATTAGACATACAAATTTTAGATATAAAGTTTACTCTGAGTAAATATGTTATTTTTGTGCAAAATATATGACATTTGTATTCAAAATATTCTTGGGCTTACAAGGAATCCAGCAATGTCAATTATATTATCCTAACTTAGTTTGAGGTATTATTTATTACTAAAAGGTAAATATTCTGGTTTTCCCACACATCTGGTGGGACGGTTGGTGGGGTGTGGGGGAGGGAGGGCGACGACCATCTGTTGAAGAATATTTTTTTTATTAACTGAAGATTTTTATTTTAGCTCATAAAATTCATACAAATTACCGGTCAGAATATAATTTACATTGCTGGAATTCTTATAATTTGATGATCATTTTGAATATAAACATCATAGATTTTGCATTAGACATTATGACATTTATATTCAAAATATTCCTGGTCTTACAAGGAATCCAGCAATGTCAATTATATTATCCTAACTTTAATCTGAGGTATTATTTAATACTAAATGTTAAAATTTAGTTTTTCACCCAACATCTCTTGAAGGGAGGATTGGTGGGGGGTGGGGGGAGGGTTGGGACTGCCCCACGGTTGGAAGAAGGCAAGTTGGGGTACTTGATTGACAGATAGTGTTGTGAAGAATATTTTTTATTAACTGAAGATATATGTTTTAGCTCATAAAATTCATACAAATTACCCGGCCAGAATATAATATACATTGCTGGAATTCTTACAATTTGGTGATCATTTTGAATATAAACATCATAGATTTTGCATTAGACATACAAATTTTAGATATAAAGTTTACTCTGAGTAAATATGTTATTTTTTGTGCAAAATATATGACATTTGTATTCAAAATATTCCTGGTCTTACAAGGAATCCAGCAATGTCAATTGTATTATCCTAACTTTAGTTTGAGGTATTATTTATTAAAATTTAGTGGTTTCCCCCAAAAATTTCTCAGAGAGGGAAGAGCCAGCAGTGTTGTGTGAGAAGAGGGGGAGGGAGTCGAGTCCATTATTTGAATGGACATTAACTTGGCGACTGTATTTCTCTATTTCTCTTAAGTATTAATTGTGTGCATGTACCATCATAAAATTAAGATGTTATTTTTACTAGAACATAGGTATTGTGTCGGAAAAAGTGGAGTTTGGGGATGTGCCAGTTTCTATTGGAATTAATCCCATATGTTCTGTTGTTCACTTAGCGCGGTTTTCACTTAACACGGTACCCTCTGGGTTTTATTGACCACCTTAAGTGGGGTACTACTGTATATAATTTTTTTTTTTTTTTTTTTTCATCCTGTTTAATGTATCATCCACCCCATCTCCTGGCAAACACACATTCATCCTATTTCTGTTTTTAGCACAGAACACTAGTTACCTTTCCTGAGAATCCCCAACAATTAAGATTTTTGTACCTTCCTTGTCAGCCTTTTCTTGACTATTTTACTGCCCATTTCATATACTAAAGAACTAAAAAAGTTAGTACACTTAGTTGTTTTCGTTTCCTTCTTGTCTTTTTTTTCACCATCAGTTTGGTCGTTCCTCTCATCACTATCCTCCATTGCCCTGTATTGTGGTCTTTTTTTTCTTTTATGGAATCACCAAAGTACAGAAAATGTTACTCCGACCTTGATATGTCATAATAAATATTTTGTTGTACTTACCCTGTATGTGTGTTAATGAAGAGCTTCACATTGTTGACCGATTGTGACATTGTTTACTACAGAGTCAGCTCTGATGGCATGACGATGGAGTTGCTGACTGATCAGTTAGTTACAAACATCATGGATGAGGTGACGGGCCGCTCGCTTGACTCCTCAGATCGTCATGAGCCTCCACAACCACCACACCGGGGGTCTTCCTTGGTAAGTTGTTTGTTGTTTTAAAACATGTTAGCAAAGAAACAATTTAAGAGTAACAGATTTCTTTATGCTATTTGGTTGTGAAGTCGTAACAGAGATTGGTTTGGCGTCGCTCGGGGATGCCGTGTTCTTCCGCGAGTGAGGGCAGCGCGCCGAGCCGAGAGAGCATAGCGAGGCCAGACAAGAGAGGGTGATGCGACATAAAAAGTAGTCTGTGACAACGCAAAACAACGTTGTACCGAATTTTTGGTCTTCAAAGTTTAGCTACATAGTATTGAAACAACGTTACGCGAGAACTTTCTGTATTGTCAAAATAAGAGAAACAATTGAGACCTGGCATTTGTGTGTAAATGAGACAGAAATTCAGTCACAACTTTTGTGATGCCATATGGCAGCAGGGTCTACCATTAGACAATACATTATGCTTCCAATATCTTCCCAGGCGGTAGTACCTCCCTGTTTGATAGCTGCCTACTACCTGCTATCTTTATAATGGAAACAGTGTAGTTGGTAGGCAGTGATTGTTTTTGCCACTGTATTGTATTAACATGCATGTACTGTATGTTAATGAGCTCTGTAAAGCATCATGAGGAATAAAAACTTTGGAAATATGTTTAAAAAGTGTATTTAAAGCAGTGATAAAAATATTTGCAGTATTATCAATGAATGCATGAAAATTATATAATATACTTTATTTATTCAATAACATTTCTTGATATTCTCAAAATACATATTGTACTGTGTGAGTCATTAAGCTCCATGTTGAGTTGTCAAGTTCACTTTCAGTCACTGTATTGTGCTGAAGTGAGTCATTTAAACTAATGCTGTCACAGATAATTATGACTCCTCAGTACATGACTCACAGGTGTTGCTCTTTTAGCAGTATCATACTTTTACTTTTGTCCTCTTCACCACTGATCAGCTCGTTAGCCTCTTGGGCGATTGGTTACGTCTCTGTTACACACTGTTGGCAAGTACTGCGCATGCACCGGCACCTGAATATACCTGAACCTGCTTCAGTGTTGGTCAAGTCTGGTCTTGAAGGAGCTCACACTCGATGCCGTCACAAAACTCTGGTAGATTGTTCCAGGAGTTCACAACTCTCACTCCGAAAAAGTTACCCCTCACAGTTATCCAGACTTGCGGCTTCTTTAACCTTGAGCTGTGTCCCCTTGTGGGGCGAGCGTCCGCCAGCTCCAGGTAAGGACACTCAACTGAGTAGTGCCCTCTGAGATGCTTGTGCAGCTCAATCAGATCTCCCCTTGTCCGTCTGTAGTACAAGCGTGGCAAGTTCAGGCACTCCAATCTCTTCGGGTAGCTGAGGTGCCACAGTGCAGGCACCAATCTGTTGGCCCTCCTTTGGACATTTTCAATCAGCTGACAGTCCCTCCAGGCGGGGAAGTACTTCACTCTTGAAGATCGTTACGAAGGACGTAACATCTAGATATCTGAATGACCTTCTTCTCACAATGGCCCGAAAACTTCAGTTCACTGTCAACATACACACCTAGGTCCTTTTTACATTCTGTCTCATTTAATGTAGTCTCTTCGTCCTGTTGGGACATATGATACGCCTCCTTACCATTGGTATGTTCCAGGTGAATCCTCTTACACTTCGTGACATTGAATCTCAGCAGCCATTTCTTTGACCATTCTTGGAGCTCACAGAGGTCCTTGTGCAGCTCTTTACAGTCCGCTTGGTTCTTATTTTCCCGAAATAACTTGGCATCGTCTCCAAACATTTGTATGGAGGAGTGTACAAGGTCAGGCATGTCATTTATGAAGCAAACAAACAACAGCGGGCCCAATGCACTGCCCTGTGGTACCCCGCTTGTGACAGGTACAGATGACGATTTCGTGCCATTAACCACCACACACTGCTTGCGGTCATGTAGAAAGTCTTCTACCCACGCCAGGACATTTCCCCGAATCCCATACCCTTCCAGTTTAATTTTCAGCCTTTCTTGGGGTACACTGTCAAAAGCCTTGGCAAAATCTAGGTAATTATTGTCGATATTACCACCCTGATCTAGAGTATGAGTTCAAATATCCATTACCCTGAGTAATTGTGTCAAGCAGGAGCGCCCCGGCATAAAACAGTGTTGGGAATCAGTTACGAGGTTGTTTCATTGTGGATGGCTCTCCTCACCTGGCCTCACTCCTTCACCTATAAAGGCTGTGTCACTTATGCTTCCACCTATGCTTTGTGTTTTTGTTAAAATTTGCCAACTTTTCATCTATCATGAACTTACTCTGCCCATACAACAGTCGTGACAGCTCATCCTTTTTCCAGTTGACTACAATATGGTAATACGTACTGTAATAGTGTGGTGTTTGTTTTACAGACTGGAGAGTTGAGTCAAGAGGAAGGCATGGCGCTCCGCTTGGCTTTCCTTCAGAGTGCCAGTCTGCGGGCCATATGTGCCATCATGAATTGTCCACGTTATGCCGAGATGCTCCTCGTACCAAAGTCTGTGCAGGAAAAGGTATGCATATTGTATGAGTTTGAGGAATAATTCACAAAGTTAAGTCTGTTATCAAAGTTCCTTTATTATTTTACATGAGTGGGTCTTGAGCTTCAGGTTGATCCATCACTGCTTGTACCCTGCTCTCTTCTCTCTGCCCAATTGTCTTCACATCAAGGTGTTCACCAGCCCAAGATATCAAATGAGAGAGATGTAAACAAACCTTAATTTCCCGGCTTTGTTGTGTTGTTGTTTTCGGGGATTAGCCTACCGGACATAGATCACTGACCCACATTGGGGCCTGAGGGGCAAAAATTTAATACTCCTGTAATAATAATAATAATTCAGATTAAAAAAAAAAAAAAAAAAAAAAGAAGAAGAAGAAGGCTGCCGATCTACCTATTGGACAAGCTAAAATTGTTCCGGACCACGGAATGCCGGACTAGAGAGGTACAACCTGTACTATAAATTGTTCCTGGACATAGTTAATTTTTGGAGTGTTCCAGATGCCTGATAACAGTCCCACACGTGTGTACACAGTATAAAGTAAATGTTTTTGCAGGATGGAGGAGAGAAGGGGAGCTCAGTGTCACTCCTACATGAAGAAGATGAGATACGCACAGCCATAAGAGTACTGGTGAAGTGTATGGTGTCTGCTTGTACTCAGCCTCAGCCACTCAAGAGGTGAGTACAGTAATAATGATTAATTTGATTATGATTTAAACAACAGTAGTGTAGTTACCTTGTACTGTATGGTACTGAATGATACTATATTTTCTCCCTTAGGACCACTGTGTTGACTCCAGTAGACACTTAGTGTTACCGTCAAGTGAAGAGATACACATTACAGTAAAACATTGATAATTCGGCACATATGGGGCTCTGGCCTTGCCAAATTTTTCCAAATTCTGACGTATTGAGGCACCGCCCCTTACGAAAATACAACAATAAAAAATTATCTGCCCACATACGTATACTGTACAGTATAGTCTCGATTTACGCGGATTTCGTTTACGCGTTTGGTCATTTAAGCGGCACCTGGCCAGACCGGCAATTATTAGTTACTTGGTACATTCCATCATTTACGTGGGAAGCAGCGCCGGCAGGGTGCGCACAAGGTCCCCCAGTCAACAAAACATTACCAAGTTCTTCACCCGCCACCCACCACAGCCGGCCCAAGTCAGTGATATTGATAGTGAGGATATGGACTTTGAGGGGTTTGACAAAGAGGCCCTGCAAGCCTCTGTGGTGGATAGTGATACAGGTGAGGGCCAATAATCTGCCTTCTGCCTCGGAACCAGACCCCATCCCCTTGTGCCCAGCCATCTCTTCTACTAACGTAAGTGTTAAAAACCTAATATTATTGATATTTCTCTTAAATATTAATTGTGTGTGCATACCATCATAAAATTAAGATGTTATTTTTACTACAACGTACTATTGTGTCGGAAAAAGTGTAGTTTGGGGGTTGGCCCAGTCTCTATTTCAATTAATCCCATATGTTCTGTTATTTTGTTTACGTGTTCCTTGTTTTAAACGGACCTCCACGGGTTTTATTGACCGCATAAATCGAGACTATACTGTACATGCAATTACTAATTTTTAAAAAGTAACACTTACCAGCACTGCAGGTGAATGAATGAAGCATTTTAGTAGGTGAGAGGCATGGTAGGTAACACAGAGGCATGGGAGGTAACTCATGGAAAAGGTAGGTGATGCAGGGGGAATAGTAGGTGACACAGAGGCATGGTAGGTAACTCAGGTGATGGTAATGGAATCGCTACATAAACAGTAGCCAGTGCAGCACTTATATGTACTGTATACTACTGTAATTTGGTCATGCAAACAAAATAAAGAAAAAAAAAAAAAATAATTGTTTTCTCTACATACTATAATTCAAGTCTGAGTATGTAATTACAGTGGTCTCTCCATTAACGAGCGGTTCAATTTACGAGATTTCGGTTAATGAATTAGCTCCCATAAGGATTTTCAGTTCTATTAACGAGTACAACTTCTATTAACGACGGCCTTACGAGAAACATGCCTTGGAGTGCGCATCAGCTGATAGGCTAGTCCGCCAATACAGTAATCTGTTCTATGTTTACATTTGTTTCCAGTGGAGTAAATATCAAGAAAGTTGTGCTCCTGAATATTTTTGCATTTTTACATTAAGTTTATTGGTCATATATACAATGGAGAAATTATTATGAAACATAAAGAAGGCATTAGAGCCAATGCACTCTGTAAAGAATATGGCATGCCATCATCGACTGTCTCTAGAAATAAAGAAAAATAATATAAAATTAAAAAATAAGAAAAATGAGGAGCAATGTGTGTGTGTGTGTGTGTGTGTGTGTGAGAGAGAGAGGTGAATGTATGTGAAGGACACTCAGTGAGCTGTACTGCATGGCTGAGTCACCATCCCATGTGACTGTTATGAAAATGAAAGTAAGCACTGGGAGGCTTTATTTGACTTAATGCAACATCAGTATCCATAGATCTGTAATAAACAAGAATTACAAATTAAGAATGACTAAGCTTCAAGTAACAGAATTGGCTTAACACAAATAAACATAACATAAGAAATATAAGAGAACTTCAAACAATATAATCTATGGCACTAAACCAACTAAGCATAACACATCAGTGATGTCACGGCACACACACGCACGTCTCAGTCAGCTGGTTGACTCCACTGCCTTGACTGCCTGGCTGAACTGTGGCATCACTTAGATCAGTGGTTCCCAAACTTTTTAACATGAAACCCACTTTTGCTTTTTGTGAAGTCCTCACACCCCCCCCCCCTCTCCTTCCTTATATAATCATGAATAAATGACTTCAATTAGTTTCAGATTGTTGGACTAAATTAGAATTTTTACCAAAGAGGAAAAAGTTGGGAAACCTGGAAGATTCAGATAGCTGGAATTCACATTAAATGAAGCGCTCTGTAAATTAAATAAAATCTATGACATTGGATTTACAGTAATAGTGGAGACGTTCTGCATACAGTGGCTGGCCTAACGTGAATAGGGGAGGTTATTGGGTGTTCCTGGGCCAGTACAGTGGGAACCAAATTTTACCAGGGAGTGCTGAACATAATTCTGGTGCCCTAGATACTCTGTGGTGCAATGTATAGCACCTTATACCCAGAATATTGGGGCAATACAGCACCCTCCCTTCCTTCATCCATGTACTGACTGGAGTGAGCCAACACACACCAGGCTCCAACAATAACAAACACCAGACTGACCAAGTGTGGAGTGCAGTACGGCAAGTGTTACCCACGCGGCCAAATATGCCGTGATTTTCAGAGATAATTTTATGTAATTCGGCATTTCTCGAGTTATTTTATAATTAATTCCGAAATTATACAAATTATGTAAAATTCCAGGTTATTGAATGCCAAGTTATCAAGAGTTTACTGTATAGTCTTTATTTTGTCACATTAAATGATCAACAAAGCTTTATGTCATTTTGGAGTAGCAAATATCAGCCAGGAACTAACTCCATTACTGTACAGTATTAGTGCCACCTTGCCCCTATAGCCGTGATAAAGGTTCTCTCAGAAGTTTTACAGTATAGACAACTAATAATATGGGCATAGATCCTGAGGGGATGCATCTCCCACCCACGTACAGTAAGGTTGGGGGACATAATCACCCTCCTATAATTCATGTAATTCAGAAGAAAGTATTGAAAACCTCCCAAATTTTGAAGAAAAAATTTTTAATTTAATAATTTATCATTTTTCTGTTTTGCTCTTAAGAATCATTTTGAGAGAGAGAGCAGTCTGAGGTTAGTGTTCAGTGTTAGTTTAAAACCTGGCAGTGAGGTCAGCTAGGGAGACCAACATCCCCTCCTTACCCTTGACGAAGACCTGATAGTGAGGTCAGCTAAGGAGACCAACATCCCCTCCCCTCACTTGACTAAAACCTGGCAGTGAGGTCAGCTAGGGAGACCAACATCCCCTCCCCACCCTTGACTTAGACCTGACAGTGAGGTCAGCTAAGGAGACCAACATCCCCTCCCCTCACTTGACTAAAACCTGACAGTGAGGTCAGCTAAGGAGACCAACATCCCCTCCCCTCAGTTGACTAAAACCTGGCAGTGAGGTCAGCTAGGGAGACCAACATCCCCTCCCCACCCTTGACTTAGACCTGACAGTGAGGTCAGCAAAGGAGACCAACATCCCCTCCCCTCAGTTGACTAAAACCTGACAGTGAGGTCAGCTAAGGAGACCAACATCCCCTCCCCTCAGTTGACTAAAACCTGGCAGTGAGGTCAGCTAAGGAGACCAACATCCCCTCCCCTCAGTTGACTAAAACCTGGCAGTGAGGTCATGTGAACTATAACAGGTGTTGTCATGTGAGACTGTAACACAAATAACTCAATTTTCAGACAAGTGAGTGTGGCAGAGGTAGAGCGGTCACATCTGGTATTACACAACATGTCCATGAGGGCGTGGGCCGAGGACAGCCTTAGCGTGGCCGACACCCAGTCTCGTATCATGGCTCTAACAGCCAACGAGGAGAGGATCTCAGACCAGGTCAGGTGTTCCTCAAGGAAAACTCAAGCCCTCATTCCTTGTGTTCTTAACCTTTCTTAACCTTTCCTCTGAATAGTTAAGTTTCAGAGGGAAGTTGTCTGTTATCATGGAAAAAATTAAAACTTTCTTTTTATTTCTTTGTTAAACTAATTGACCATAAGGTTTAGACATAAGACATTAAATTTCTTGAAGGCAGTGCAGTGTTGTCACAGTGTGCTTGGTCTGTATTTCATGTGTACAGTATTATTAGTGCTGCCTCTCAGTTTACCTGGTACTGCCAGTTGTGTTCTTCACAATGGCCACATAACTCAAAAATCCTTAATATAAACATAATTTCCTCATAATAAATAAAGGAAATGGTGTGGCAGGGGGAGTGTATATACCATACACTGTAGGTAAATATTTCCTTCAATGTGTTTTATTTTTCATTTTATTTATTTATTTATTACTCACAATAAAAGCAAGAACACAATATGGTTAAATCAGTGGTAGAGAGGCTCAAGTCTCGACTCTTCATTGAATTATGGAGAGTTTTCATGTATGATGTGGACGGCCCTCTGACCTGACTCAAATCACCAGTAGTTCTCCTCTCACAGTGCAGCTTGAGTATTATAGTGTGTGTGAGGATGTTAGGAGAGCATTATAGTAATACAGGTTGTACCTCTCTAGTCCGGCAACCCCGGGACCTGACCGGTGCCGGACCATGGAAATTCACCCTTTTCCTGGATAGATAGTGATGTGTGCTTATGCTTGGAAGCACTAGCACCACTTTCTCTGCATCATGGTCTCTTTGAAGACATATTGAAGGGTTAAATGTTGTATAGTAGCTTCTCAAATTTCGCGAGTTTTTAATTCTTAACATATTTTATTGGAACACACAAAAAAATAAATAAAAAAAAAATTTTGACGGCAGAAACTTGAATTTCGACGGGTTTGAACGGCCCGCCAACGTGCAGACGACGTGCATAATCGTGTAAACAACGTCATTTCTCTTATGTACAAAAGATTCATTATTGTTTATTACTGAATGTCTTTTTGATTGAATTAATGTTTGTGTGCAAAATGAGCAATACAATTCATTAATAATACGTAGAATATTAAAACGCACGAGGAAATGACACAGCATTGTTTTCGTTGATTACAAAGCCAGTGACTGACTGGTTCTACATATAAAACTGAAGAAAATAAGACCTTGGTTGTAGCTGTAGTAAAATTAATATGGTTGTTTTAAGTAATGTTATTTAATGTTAATAAATGGAACAATAGAAGTAGCTAACGATAATGGTAAAGAAAAGAGAGATCGCTATGTAAGTGCGACATGTGAAAACATATCGTTTTTACTTCATAAGAATATGAAACAACACTTATTTACTGTTCATATATATTTTAATTAATGTTTCTGAATTTGTTTTTATTGAATTAATGTGTGTAAAAGTAAATTAACAATATAATTTATTAATAATACGTGGAATATTAGAGAGCGATGCGGCTGCCGCATTGTTTATGTTAAAGCTACTTAAACCAGTGACTGATTGGTTCTACATATAAAACTGAAGATGATATACCCTGACTTTGGCTGTAGTAAAATTAATGTAAAAATTAATATGGTTGTTTGAAGTACCTGTAATGTTATTTAATGTTAATAAATGGAACAATATAAGTAGCTAACCATAATGGTTAAAAAAGTGAGACTGCTTTATGTGGGTAGTACATGTGAAAACATATCAGTCATTACTCTACATAAGAATATAAAGCAACACTTATTTACTGCTCATATATATGGAAGGGTTAAATGTTGTACTCTGTATAGACAAGCAGAGAGAGAGAGAGAGCAGCTGAACTGCTGGCTGTAAACAAAACTTTCAGTTCCCACGCTTTTTTTTGTTTTTAATGGGATTAGCTCACCGGCATAGGTCACTGACCCACTTTGGGGAGTTGAGGCAAAAATTTAATACTCCTGTAATAATATTCAGATTAAGTAAAAAAAAAAAAAAAGCGTCTATCTACCTATTGGACAAACTAAAATGCCGGACCACGGGAGTTTCGGACCACAGAATGCCGGACTAGAGAGGTACAACCTGTAGTACTGTAATAATAATAATAATAATAATAATTAACAGTTTATTGAAAAAAGTTCTGCAGCCTGAAGGCTGAAAGTTTACATTAGACAAAAATAACTTATTACACACAAAGACATGGGGTGGGTGGGTCGTTTAACAAAAGCTGCCATTACTGAAAGAAGAAGGAACAATGATTGAACATACAAATTATTATGTGTGTGTGTGTGTGTGTGTGATAGAATATTATAGTGTGTGTATGTGGACATTAGGAGAGCATTATAGTGTGTGTGGGTGATAGGAGAGCATTATAGTGTGTGTGTGTGAATGATAGGAGAGCATTATAGTGTGTGTGTGTGGATGATAGGAGAGCATTATATTATGTGTGTGTGGATAGGAGAGCATTATGTTGTGTGTGTGGGTGATAGGAGAGCATTATATTGTGTGTATGTGTGATAGGAGAGCATTATGTTGTGTGTGTGGGTGATAGAGAGCATTATATTGTGTGTGTGGGTGATGGGGAGCATTATATTGTGTGTGGGTGATAGGAGGCATTATAGTGTGTGTGTGTGTGATAGAGAGCATTATGTGTGTGTGTGTGAGGATAGGAGAGCATTATAGTGTGTGTGTGTGGGTGATAGGAGAGCATTATAGTGTGTGTGTGTGTGTGTGTGGGTGATAGGAGAGATTATAGTGTGTGGTGTGGGTGATAGGAGAGCATTATATAGTGTGTGTGTGTGTGTGTGGGTGATAGGAGAGCTTATATTGTGTGTTTGTGTGGGTGATAGAGAGCATTATAGTGTGTGTGTGTGGGTGATAGGAGAGCATTATATTGTGTGTGTGTGTGTGTGTGTGGTGTGTAGGAGAGCATTATAGTGTGTGTGTGTGTGTGTGTGGGTATGGGAGGCATTATATTGTGTGTGTGTGTGTGTGTGGGTGATGGGAGGCATTATATTGTGTGTGTGTGTGGGTGATGGGAGGCATTATATTGTGTGTGTGTGTGTGGTGATAGGAGGCATTATATTGTGTGTGTGTGGGTGATAGGAGGCATTATAGTGTTTGTGTGTGTGTGTGTGTGGGTGATAGGAGAGCATTATATTGTGTGTGTGTGATGGAGAGCATTATATTGTGTGTGTGGGGTGATAGGAGGCATATTGTGTGTGTGTGGGTGATAGAGGCATTATATTGTGTGTGTGGGTGATAGGAGAGCATTATATTGTGTGTGTGTGATAGGAGAGCATTATATTGTGTGTGTGTGTGTGTGTGGGTGATGGGAGAGCATTATAGTGTGTGTGTGTGTGGGTGTGATAGGGAGAGCATTATATTGTGTGTGTGTGGGTGATAGGAGGCATTATATTGTGTGTGTGGTGTGTGTGTGTGTGATAGGAGAGCATTATATTGTGTGTGTGGGTGATAGGAGCATTATATTGTGTGTGTGGTGATAGAGAGCATTATATTGTGTGTGTGTGTGTGGGTGATAGAGCATTATATTGTGTGTGTGTGTGGGTGATAGGAGAGCATATATTGTGTGTGTGTGTGGGTGATAGGAGACATTATATTGTGTGTGTGTGGGTGATAGGAGACATTATATTGTGTGTGTGTAGTGATAGAGCATTATATTGTGTGTGTGTGTGGTGATAGGAGGCATTATATTGTGTGTGTGTGTGGGTGATAGGAGCATTATATTGTGTGTGTGGGTGATAGGAGAACATTATATGTGTGTGTGTGGATGGAGAGCATTATATTGTGTGTGTGTGTGGTGGGTGATGGGAGGCATTATATTGTGTGTGTGTGTGGGTGATAGGAGACATTATATTGTGTGTGTGTGTGATAGAGAGCATTATATTGTGTGTGTGTGTGGGATAGGAAGTATTATATTGTGTGGGTGATAGGAGAGCATTATATTGTGTGTGTGTGTGTGGGTGATAGGAGGCATTATGTTGTGTGTGTGTGTGTGTGGGTGATAGGAGAGCATTATATTGTGTGTGTGTGGGTGATAGGAGAGCATTATATTGTGTGTGTGTGGGTGATAGGAGAACATTATATTGTGGGTGATAGGAGCATTATATTGTGTGTGTGGGTGATAGGAGGCATTATATTGTGTGTGTGTGTGTGGGTGATAGGAGCATTATATTGTGTGGGTGATAGGAGAACATTATATTGTGTGTGTGTGGGTGGATGGAGAGCATTATATTGTGTGTGTGTGGGTTAGGAGAGCATTATATTGTGTGTGTGTGTGGGTGATAGGAGAGCATTATATTGTGTGTGGGGTGATAGAGAGCATTATATATTGTGTGTGTGTGTGTGATAGGAGACATTATATTGTGTGTGGGTGATAGGATATATATATTGTGTGTGTGTGTGATAGAGCATATATTGTGTGTGTGTGTGATAGATATGATTATATGTGTGTAAGGATGGTATTATATATTGTGTGTGTGTGTGTGTGTGTGTGTGTGTGTGTGTGTGATAGAGGCATTATATTGTGTGTGTGGATGATGGGAGACATATATTGTGTGTGTGTGTGTGTGTGTGTGATAGAGACATTATATTGTGTGTGTGTGTGTGTGTGTGACAGAGATGTATTGTGTGTGTGTGTGTGTGTGTGTGTGATAGGAGGCATTATATTGTGTGTGTGTGATAGATTATATTGTGTGTGTGGGTGATAGGAGAGCATTATATTGTGTGTGTGTGTGTGATGATAGATTTATATTGTGTGTGTGTGTGTGATATACTATATTGTGTGTGTGTGTGTGATAGGACATTATATTGTGTGTGTGTGTGTGTGTGTGTGTGTGTGTGTGTGTGTGTGTGTGTGTGTGTGATAGGAGGCATTATATTGTGTGTGTGTGTGTGTGATAGAGCATTATATTGTGTGTGTGATATAGACTATATTGTGTGTGTAGGATAGGAGACTTATATTGTGTGTGTGTGATAGATATT